AATTAGTATGTTGAAGCCCAACATATGATATGTTAGATTAACGGTCGTAATATGGTCTCAGGAATGTGGCTTGACTACTTTGTGGTGGGTGTGATCTAGACACCTCCCAAAGCTTTAGGAGCTGCATCTGTGCCTTGATGCTAGAGGGTGGTGGGCGTTCCTGCGGATGCCGAGAACTCGACCTCCAGCCGAGGGTCAGGCGAACCGAAAATATTTATATGAAAGTTTACACACACTTGAGAGGGACGAAAAGCGTTTCTTCTGTAACTCTGAGTTTCACAGTTTTAACCGATCATATGAAATTTTATATGTTTTATGTGATGCTGCTCGAGTGGTGGAGGTGTGTGTGCAGTTAGAGAATGCTAGTTGCACTACTGATGCCTGTACAACGTAATCCATTTCAAGGTTGGTCAATATTGCATGAAACTAAATCAGCAGGAAAGCCCAACAGCCTTGTATAAGGATTTAGTGAGCAGTTCCCCTTCCAATCTATGTTGTCATATAACTTAGAACCTTCCAATTTGGAAGGCTGTTGGAATGCGCATCAGAGGCGTGCTAGAGCTGATAGCCAGTTAGTTGTAGAACGTCAGTACCATTGGTCATTGTCGTGCAAAGTTATCGCATGGGTGCATTGTTTAGTAACTGGTGGTGTTAGTGGACATTATAGTGTAACTAAGTTCCTTGGTACTTTTTCCTTTCTATAAAATTAAAAAAAGAATTTGTCAGTGAATTTTTGGTATGTTCATGGCTGTGTATAACCAATCGAAAATGAAGATCTAATTTTCGTCGCAGTAGGCCTTGACGGATTATGCTTTTCGCACTGCTGAAAAAATTGCAGAATTATGCTATTTTTATGCTAAAAGTTATCATATTATGCCGCATTATGCTCACATATGCTGCTAATGTATATGATGGTTCTGTGCAAAATACCAGGGGATTTTTTTATAGGGCGTTGTACTGTAGTGGCAAAAGTTCAACGGGGTCAACGCACCGTCCGACCTACAATTGTAACTACGACCATCACTGATTGTAATGGACTGGACATGTTATCAAGGGAGTCGTAAACCTACGACTTCCTGGTGTATCTACTTGTACTTGTAGAACATGTACAACTCTATGGAATTTGGTGCGAACAGGCGGATTATTCCATTATGCATGCGATTCGTATGCAATTTGCCTCGAATTATCCGATTATTCGATTTTGGTAGGAATTATGCGAAAAATTATGCTAGCATAATCCGTCAAGGCCTACCTCGCAGTATGACTTTGAATTTGTAATTCAGCCTTATGTATACAGTCGTGCAGTAAGTTTGACTATAGGGTGGAATATAGTTGTATATAATGAGAAGTACAGTTAGTTTGTCACTCATGGTAGGATTTTTAGTCTTAGCGAATCTTTGATGGGAAGACTGGGCTGAACAACGATAGGCATGGTACAAAGTCCACTATCCGACCTGCACTTTAATCTGATGTAGCAGCTAGCGGAATGTACATGCACATACTAGGGTGTCAGACCTCAGCAGCTTAGCATGGCCAGTTACTATATCGGACCTTGACAGCCATGTAGAAAGAGGTCCTTGGCTACTTCAGAGAGCAGTGTGTACATGTACATTGTACATTCTGCTTCAACGGTACCTGTATGACACGTGTGTGCGTGCGTGCGTGCATGTTGGTGTGTGCTGGCATGCATGTGTGTATATGTTCACGTGTGTGCGTGTGCATGTGTGTGTGTGTGTGTGGTTTGCATGTGTGTTTGTGTGCCCGTGTGTGTGTGCATGATATGTGTGTGTGTGTGTGTGTGTGTCTGTGTGCGAGTGCAGGTACCATTAATTTGTTAAGTCTGTGCTGAGGGACAACTTACTATTGTAAACTAAACACACATCTACGGGGCAGGACCACTTCAGTCAGTGTTTTCAAGTATAAAACAATTGCTATCTTTAATATCTTATTTGCACATTGTCAATTTCTGCTTTGCTACGTAACACAGCATTCGATGGGACACATCAACAGGTGCAGGCAGGGCTGCAAGCTGCAGGGACATATGTCGGTCCAGTACAGCCTGATTCGAACATTAGCTTGACACAGCCTATTGCGAACCAACCGCAGCCTGTTGATCAGCAGCACAGCCATATTGGACAACCGGTCAACACGGGTGGCTTCAGAGAGACTAGAAGTAGTATTGAGGGACTCCAAAGATCATCAATAGTGGAGTCAGCAATGAGTCTCCCACCACATCCTCAACCAACCATTGGTCTTATGTCATCACCAGCCCAGGTTTCCAGTCCCTTTGGCCAGCAAATGAATCACAACGTCCATGCCACTGCTACCAGTGGTAATCAGACATTAGCAGCATACCTGCCATATAGTGTCCCAGCAATGCACGGCAGTATGGCCAGCTCTAACAATCCTGTGGAAATGCACGCCGGCTTTCCACAGACCCCACTGAACAATCTATCACAAGGCGACAAGTATCAATCGGACAACCCCTCTGCCTCTCCAATATTTGGCGGACAACTCAGAAGTCTGTGCGAATGGCGTGTGAACAACGGTCTACACTTGTGTGGTTTGGCTTTCTATAGTGTCACCGAACTAGCGCAGCACATAACAAACGTTCATCTCCAGCAACAGGGCACTACCGAACATCCCACACAGGAGGGTAGCAATGTCTACATCTGCCACTGGGACCAGTGTACACGCACCAAAGGATTCAAAGCCAAATATAAGCTTGTTAACCATATACGAGTTCATACAGGTGAAAAACCCTTTGTCTGCGATCATCAAGACTGCTCACGCAAAGCATTCGCAAGATCCGAAAACCTGAAGATACACTACAGAGTCCACACAAAGGAAAAGCCGGTTCCCTGCACCTTCCCGGACTGTAAGAAAAGATTCTCAAGTTGCTCGGATCGAAATAAGCACATGCACGTGCACACGAATGGTAAACCCTACCAATGCAAGGCAGCAGGATGTACGAGGAGCTATACACACCCAAGCTCGCTTAGAAAGCACTCCAAGCAGCATGATGCTCGAAATGCAGCCAATGGCGGTAATGCTCTTTCCTACAGTAACACGGACACCAGCGCAGAGAACAGTGGCTTGACGTCTGCGGATGGTTCTATTGCTGCAGACGGAAAAAGTGATCATGGCAGTTCGATTTCATCCGATGAGGTACTTGCAGACCAGCACCACCACTATCAACAAGAACAGGAAGAACAGCAGCAGCAGCACCAACATCAACAACAAGGTTTTGCACTTGTGACTTGCACGGACCAGTGTCAGCCTGCACAGCCGCAACACTTACCACTGGGAACGTCCTCAAGCATGCTGACTGTGAATTCAGCATCCACGTCATCTCTGCCTCAGTTACCTTATCATTTGCACTCTGCCCAGGCAACTGCTAGTAGTGACCTGGTCAACAGTGCACAACCAACACCACCTGGACAGCCGTCTGGTAGCTATGCGGTGTTCAGTGAAGTATGCCATGACAATGCCAGAAAGGGTGACCTAGTAGTGGCAAGCCTAGGCAGTAGAGCAA